ACTGTTCGAGAGAGTGAAATAATCAGCATAGAAATGTGTCGGGAAAAAAAAAATAAAAATAAGATTCTCAAGAAGACTAACCTGAAAGGCACCTTGACTAGCCTCAACGTCACCCATAAGGAAATTCAAGTCCTTTCCCTTGAAAAGCTCAGCCACCTCATGATATTTCGATTTAAATGCATCAAACTGCTCGTTGGTAAAGTTTAGAAACAACATTACCTGTGAACAATAAAATATCATTTGACTGATTACCAAATTTTCAGAAAAGGGAAAGCCAACACATATATCAAACAGGATAAAGAAATGGGGGGTGGAGACAGATAGCAAAACTATAGCTACCTGCTTTATTCTAAGCATCGCAAGGCAACTGCAAAGTATATTGTTATTTTTTTTTTTTTCAAAAACTTCTAAATTTATTTAAAAATAATAATTTAATTTTTATGCATGAATTTTACATTAATTGTATAATAAAAAATATTAATAATCATATTACTAATACAATAATTATGAATGCATTAGATTTTGCATTATCATGTATTTGGTCATTTCAATTAATATATTTTATATAGTATATCTTATAAATTATGCATATCCAAATTATGCATGATATGCATGATGATAAATATAAATTAATTTACTAATATTTTCGCGACCCACCTAGTCGCCTAGGCATAGGACCCAGGCCACCGCTTGGCGAATTTTAGAGCATTGGCTACAGGGCAATTGATTTTTCAACATGAGCAGCAAATTTAAGTGCTGGAGTTGACAATAATCAAATTATTACTGAATAATTACTAGTTTAGAGTAAACGAATAGAACCTCAAATCAAATTATATAACCGACGCACACATACGAACTATTAGAGTTTATATCACAGTACCTTATATTATACCAAAAAGCAATGCAATAAATCGAGCATGATAGTATCCACAGACCAGATATTTAAAAGGTAGCACGAGAGGGCACCTATTCATTGAACCACTTCTTTAATGTGCTCTAGTACTAAGGGATATAGTTTTTCTACCCATGGCTAATCATTTACTTTGTGGAAAATTTATGCCCATAAAAAATTCCTACAATTTATAGGTGAATATCCATGTGTTTGCTTTCATTGCTTCATACAACAGTTACTCTCCTGCCACTAGTAGACAAGATGCGAGGTGAACTTTATTTGACAAATGAACTTAGATTCTCAACAACAAAAGTTAAATTATGATACGAAAGGCACCATTAAAAAGGAATATCCAACTAAAGTAAACATATCTTGTCAAAAATGCAACTTGTAGGAGTCACATAATCCTTCTCTACATATGTATTTACTGTGCAATTATGACACATTATTGCTTATGATCTTTCAATCAACGAAATTGTATAAATTGTGGCGAACCTTGGCATTGGGGCTGTTAAAGTATTTAACGACAAACGGATGGTTCTTTGGATCCTTGTTGAAGAAAGTCACAGTTGGGATGCTAGTTTCTTGAACAAATTTCACCAAAGCATCCACATCAAATTCCTGCAGAAGAGGTTCTCTTTAAATAGGGTAGTTACAATACAAATGTATAAGCATTGTAAGAGTACGATACTATTTCCGTATACCTGGAAATCCACAAAAAGTTCATCAAAAGGCTTCAACAACCTGATAAGAGGCCCTGCAACAGATGAGTCACCACGGGGAAGAAGTCTGGCATCTAAAGTATGACCAAACTCATAATCGACGCGCAATCTCTCAGCCAGGGAAGTGAAATTCTCAAACTTCTCCCCAGAAAATTCTGGGAAAATACCAACCTATATCACCGGCAGTACAAGTTTTCCTAGTTATGTTAACTTTCCAATTATATGACATTGAAACACACAAGAATGAGGGAGAGTAGACTCACAACAATAATCTTATTATCGTCAACTACAGAGGTAACATCTTCGGAGGATTTGATTTCAAAGGAAGCAGGACCACTCTGCTTTTTCAAATGAGCGACGATGCCATCTGCATCTCGGGGTCCTTTGTATTCTTGAATAACACTGCCTCCGTTTCTCAGTATCTTAAGAGTAGGGTAACCAGTAATCTCAAATTCCTTAGCCAGGACGTTATTTTGCTCATTGCTAGCATCAACTTTTGCTACGACAACAGGAGGATCAAGCAAACTTAGAACAGAAGCAGCTTTCTCATACTGAAAACGCAAAGCAACGTGTAAACAATATATATATATAGGCGTTTTTCTATGCTTTCCAAAAGAAAAAAAAGTATAGTTTTCCGAATGAGCAATAGATAAGTACCTCTGGAGCAAGTTTCTTGCAATGACCACACCTTGTAAAACATAAGAACATATGAGGAGACTCAATTTCTTTATATAACTCAATTTCACCATACAATGCGGCTGTCCCTATTCTATAATATTTAATCTCTTAACAATCATTCGCTCACCCGACCGACTTCGCAGCATTTCAACAAGCAGTATACACCCCCACAATGGTTAGCCCACAACACATGTTTGATAATACAATGCTTTCTTCTTTTCAGCAACCCAAATAATCACATGAAAAAACCGATTAGATACCACTTAACACAAACATCAAGCCAAAAAATAAAAAATAAAAAATGAGAACAGTCATTCCGGATAATGTACTCGCAAAATGCAGAAAAGCACAAAACAGATGCAACGCCTGCGAAGAACAGGGAAACGACGACCACAAACAACAACAACAACAACAACAACAACAACAACGCACAAATCGCAAACGCGTTAACTGAAAACTGATGAGGATGAAATACGAAAGCAATTGAATTACCAAGGCGCATAAAACTCAACCACGACGAATTTGTGCTTCGCGACAAAGTCCGTGAAATTCGAGCGATCCAACGTCACCACGAACTCCTTCGATTCAGATTCCTCGCCGGCGGCTGAAACCGAGAAGGTCAACGTCAACACGACGATCCGCGACGAACATATTGAGAGCTTGATCAACTCCATGGCTCAGCTAAATCGCAGTTTTCTCACAAAGGATCTTAAAAAGATCTTGGCTTTTGGCCAGCTGAGGGAGGTTTTAATTTTATATGAGCACGTAGATTTCAGTTAAATTTCAAATTTATCCTAGCAAAAGATACTTTTTGCAATAAAGTCCCTCAGAAAATATACCATGTTCACAAAAAAATAAATAAATTATTTAGAAATATGAAATTGGCTTCCACTATGTTTGGTAAATAAATAAACTATCTTATATCTTATTTTGTTAGCTTATAGGTTTTCTGTATTTAATAAGTTTCGATTGGTAGGACGAGCTTATTTAAAAAGCTCGAGCTCATGTTCGATAGACAAATAAGCTAGTTTATAACTTATTTGGTTAGCTTATAAGTTCCCTGTATTCATATTTCTTATTTGAATACAGAAAGCTTATAAGCTAATCAAATAAGCTATAACCTAGTTTATTTGTCTACCATACATGGCCGTGGTAGGACGAGCTTTTTTTAAAAAGCTCGAGCTTATTTGATAAACTTCTTTTGCCAACGAGTGGAGCCTAGTTCAATTCCAAACACTCGAGTTTGGTTCGAGCCAACTTAACGAGCTCAAACTCGATTCATTTGTTTAGTATTTTGAATCAAACTTAAACCTTATCGAGATGACTTATAGAAAATTACATAAAAACTAATCTTGTTGAGTCGAGCTCACGGATGACTCGGTTTGTTTAACAAGTCTATGTTAGGTGGATTTAATGTCGATCTACTTCAATCAAGGCTGTCTTTCCCCAAATATATATACCTTTATAAGAAATGCCATCTTTAAGAAAAATAATAAAATAAACATATGTATGAGATTAAGTGTATAAATTGTATTATAATTTGCTAAGATATGCCACATTTAGAAAAAGAAAAAAAAAAAAAGATCAACACAGATATAACATTATTAATAAGTGCAACATTTAGAATTAACAAATACATAAATCCCTGTACAGAATAATTTCTACCTGTCTAATCTAAGTAGAATCAAAACTTTAGCTACAAAACTCCTCTCTAAACGCAGACAAACTGACCATTAATTATACACATTCCCGAGTTTCAAACACCCGCTATGAGCCCGGCCCGCAATGCTCCAGCCCAACATGCTTTTTAGAGCTTCCTTAGTAAAACTCTTATGATCCCGACCCGCAGTGATCCAGCCTTACACGCTTGTGCGCTTTTCGAGCCTCCTTCGTAAAACTCTCTACGAGCCCGCTACACGACAACTTGCCCGTGCGCTTTTAAAGCTTCCTTTGTAAACTCTGTATGAGCCCGGCCCCGGATGCCCCAGAGTCCAGTCTGAATGCTCGAGCGCTTTGAGAGCTTACTTAGGAAAACTCTACGAGCACGGCCTGAAATGCTCATGCACTTTTTAGAGCTTCCTCAAGAAAATTACTAGAGATATATACTTTTTAAAGCTTCCTCAAGAAATTAGAGATATAGATTGGAGGGAAGAGGGTGCAGTACCATAGAGGCGAAGCACAGTATAAGAGAGTAGGCCTAAGCACACCTGAGGTTCCATCTCAAAAATCAACCGGTGATTGGAGGAGTAACCCATAAGCATTTTGCCAATGTGGGACAATTCCACAAGTGATTATCTAACAAAAAAAAATCTCTTTATGAGCCTGGCCCTTGATGCTCCAGCCTGACATGCTCGTGCGCTTTAAGAGCATCCTTAGTAAAACTCTCCAAGGCCTTGAAAATCGGCACCAGACCACCCTGCAAGCTACTAGAAGTCGCATCACGCACCAGCTTCATGGCGTCCTTGTGTTTCACCCTCTCCTCCGCCACTTTCTCTCTCATCAAATCAAGATCCACCTTGAGATCGTCCAACCGCGCGACACCCGCACCGCTACTACTACGGTCCGCATGCACTACAACGGGCAATCCCTTGTTCTTCTTCTCGTCCAGCCGTTTTTCGTAATCTCTCGAAAGATATTCTGCTTTTATCCTCTGGCGATCCTCCTCGTCTTGCTTCTCCCACAATTGCCTGAGGCTGGTCGAGAAAGTGTTCATGGCATCGGCCACCCGCGCCTCCGAGACGGCCTGCATGGCCCGATTCCAGTCATGGCAAATGATGAAGACTGGCGGGGCTCCAAGATGGGCCGGGGAGTAGGTGACGGGCCCATCTGGGGTCTGTTCGGGCTCGTACTGGAGGCAGCGGACGAGCCACCCGTTGAGGGACTCGACGTACGACTTTTGGGAGTTGATCCAGTCGTTGAAGCGGATGCACCAGGCCCGAAGCTCACGCTCGAGTCCAGCTGAGGCCCGCGAGCCTGAGTCGGGCCCATTGTTGGCCCGAAGCCTCCGCATCTTGCTCTCCATCACGGCCTGGAATTGCTTCTGGTGGCACCTGAGCATCATCTTCCACATCCTTGTGAACCTACAGGGATGATGATATATATTTAAGTATTGACTGAAATAGAAAAGTAAAAAGAAAACTTTGATTTATTTTTATCGAAATTGCATGGTAGGGTCTTATGCTTTGCTTTTTTTTTTTTTTTTTTTTTT